CGTCGGTAAATAGAAGCAGATATGAAAAGAATGAATGTTCACTGGAAAGAACTGGAAAGAATTGCTCAGAACAGGGTTGGATGGAGAATGCTGGTGAGCGGTGTATGCTCCTCCACGAGGGGTAACAGCCGTAAGTAAGTTATATATATGTATATATAATCATTAGAATCCTCAATAAATATACTTTTTACCATGATATAACTATTATTCATATCATTTCTATTTTCTCAATTGTTTCTAATAAGAATTTTATTCTTACTATAAGTATGTAAATGTTTTATATAAATGATATAGTAATGATAATGATAACAAACTAATCATTAGTATGTATATTATGCTCACGTTTAATTATCATTACAGACACTTAATATTATTATATTCATTAATGTTTATATAGATTTTGTGTATATCTTTCCATTCTTCATATTCTCTGGGGGGAAATATAAATTTAACATTATCTTATTTCATTTCTATATATCTTATCTAAATATAGTGATAAATGTTTCATTTAATGTCGGTATTATATTACTTACTACATTACTCAGATTTAATGCCTTTAGGTAATAAAAACAATTATTCTTAATAGGATGATATTTAAGTAGTATAAAAAGATAATTAATTTCTATCTGGCTAGAAGAAAACAAAAATGTTATTTGGTAAAACATCTTGATGTAGGTAGGTATTTTTATTTTTGTGTTTTTTTTTGAAGTACAAATAAAAATGGAAGATTTACACAAGAGATTTAGTGGTTTACTAATGTATGAATTGAAGTAGTATATTGTTCAAGGAAAAAAAAATTAGACCATTTTAAGTAAAGAAGTTGTTTAGTTTTAATCATTCAAATAATGTGTGATGTTAGATGTTTTATTTAAATTTTACAACTGAACAACTGTTCAAGGTAAAAAGTAAAATACTTTCATATCTATGTGTATTGAAAATGGTTTCTTTATTCTTTTGGTTACTTCAATGATGTCATTAACCATAAATGATATGTGTGAAGAAAAGTAGTTAGTAGGTAATGAATAAAAAGATCTAAGAAAGAGTTATTGATTAAACTGAGGTTATTCAGCAGCCACTCGTGATTCTTGGAGTGAATAATTTATTTCAAATAAAGAAAAAACTTTCATAGTTGAAATCATGAGTCAATTGAAGTTAGATCACCATGGAAAACCCGGAAGCACTGGATGGCAGTTTTGGCCTACTATGGGACTCCTTAGCAGTGCGCATCCACGATCTCGCCTCACGAGATTCGAACCCAGGACCTACCAATCTCGCGTCAAAGTACTTTACCGATAAACCACTTAGCTGGCATCCAACGGTTCAAATCTCGCGAGGTGGGATCGTGGATGCGCACTGCCACCGAAGAGTCCCATAATAGGACGAAACGGCCATCCAGTGCATCCAGGTTTTCCATGGTGGTCTAGCTTCAATTGACTCATGATTTCAACTATGAAAATACTGAAATCTCCACAAAACCCTTTCTGAAAGAAAAAATTATTTCATAGTGAGATTTGGTAAAAGTTGAAAATGTATTTTCATTATATTGTAAAATTATTTTAATTGATATTTATTTAGCTTTATATGTCAAATATTCTGTAAGATTTTCTTAACGGATTTCTAGTTAATTAAATGGTAACCTATATCTGAATGATAAGTACAAGGCTGACGAAGTAGTGAGTTTGAATAGTTTTTACAATAAGTATGTAACAGGGTTTCACATTTTGAACTTATAAAGTTGTCTATTACTTTCAATTGTTCTACCTTATTTACCTGGTATATTTCATATATGATTAAATGGTGTTTGAACAGTAGGCTGACTTCTCTTTATTCTATTAGACCTAACTATTATTATTTATATCATGTAATATTCGTCATATAAAATCTTAAACATTATTTGATAACTTCACTTAAAATTAAGATCAGATAATAGCACCACTCCTACAATTAACTTTGCTTTTGGTCAATGTTTTCAAGCTCTTCGGTTAATTTACTTAGCAGATAGTGTTATTCAAACAGTAACAAACAGTTTATTTCTTTGTACAATTATTATTACTATCGTGTATGTATGATCATGTATACTTGATCACATGTGAAAGACTACACATATCTCTCTCTAGCTTAAATATTAGTTGCTCAAATATATATATATATATATATATATATATATATATATATGCATGCTTGAATCGCATTGATTAATTTACTTCTATTCATTTTGACCCTGAATCCGCCTCTGCATTCTCTCGCTCGTGAACATTAGCCTTTCTGCCCAAATTCTCTTGGTGTGCTTGCAACTCTGTTATCTGCACTATCAAATAATAAACTGTGGTTGATGCTTTGAATTTACTTAATAACGGTCATCAGGGTAATTGATAAACGAAGCTTAAAGAATTATTTCGAAGCCAAGCAACTACAAAGCAATCACTACTTCGAAATTCATAATCTAATCTACAAAGCTATTGAACTGTAATAATAACATCATAGTTCACTCGTGCTTTAGTTACTATTATTGTTCTGAAACCTACTACTGTTGATTGAAATGAACGAATTAATAATTTTGATAGTACTATCTTATTAAAATGTCTATTCATACAAAGTAGTATTCATTTGTATATTTAATTTTACTTCGATTTGTTTCTTATATTAACCTTTAAAAGTTTTGGTTTTTACAAAAAACAGTGTGTGTAGAAAATTATCTTTAAGCAATTCAGTCGGGATATATAACATGGTAAGACTTTCACTTACATTCATATGGTTGTTGTTCTGTTAACAAATAAGATACTTAACTGTATTAAATGAAAGGAAATAATTAGTAGTTATGTAAAGGTAAGGAGTCTATTTATAAGCATACAATCTATATGATCAAAAGGTAATCAAAGTAATTATAATTTACAACTGACTACATACTCTCTATTTTCAATTTTATCTTTACCTAACTAATGAGCTAGTAGTGTTGAAAGATGAGATTTTTCGGGAATCAAATTATTATGGGTTTCTTTATTAAGGGATATTAACACCTTCGAATACCGGCTCAGTGGTCTATATGTTAAATGCTCTGGTGCGAGACTGGTAGGTCATGGGTTCGAATCTCACGAGGCGAGGTCGTGGATGCGTACTTCTGAGGAGTCCCACAATAGGATGAAACGGCCGTCCAGTGCTTCAAGGTTTACTTTGGCAGTCTAGCTTCAATTGACTCATACTTTCAACTATGAGAATATCTCTTGGTTTATTCAAGTTAAATTAATTAAGGGGATTCGTTAAATGGACTGAAACTTAAGTGTTTAAGAATATTTTCATATGTTGATACAATTCAACTAAAACTTCTTAATGGAAATATCATTTTTGAAATGGAATCAGAACGTATTATTTACCCAGCTTTGATTATAAAAGCACATAGGATATTTTGCGTACATTTAATTCAAATGTATGAAAAATGTATCTAAGTTATAAGATATCAACACACTTGTGTTACATGTTTTAAACCTTCCATAAAAATGGGAATGAGTAAGCTTTTATTTAGCTTTTTAAATTTTCCGCTTGAAGATTGTCAAGGTTCGTTGTGATGAATCGCCTTTGAGACTATTAGCCATCGACAAAACTTGTGATATAGTCTATTAAACAAAACTTAAAACTTATTTTTACACACATTTACAAGTTTAATTTTGGAGAATTCAGTATCTTTTGTTTCAATTCATTACTACTGTTGTGTATATCGCTTATGTCTATCGACATAAGTAGTATGTAACATTAATCCGAAGTGGAACGCCTGGAAGTAGAAGGTTGATAAGATTGAATCGAAGAGAATGGAAACCGAGAGTAAGTGTAATAGTAATGAAGGGACAATGAAGAATAAAACAGTTGACGGAGAATTTTCAAATAAAATTTTTAATGTATGGTTTTCACATTTTACAAAAGAACGCTGTAATTTTGTGCTAAACAATAAATTAGTTTTCGTCGCCTGAGTTCCCGTTCACTAAAATCTATGAATAATGTGAACAATTTATAGAATGTGTTTTATCGCTGAATCCAACACGTGTTCTAACAGATTTAACCGTAATTAGACTGTGTCAACTGTGAGATATACGTCCGCAACACATTTTCTATAGGTAAAACAGACGATTTTACTTTACCAATATTCTTGGCATGATAAAATTCCATATCCTGGGTTTAGTATCACATTGAGCATTGTCATGTCAAGGAATATTTCACAAATAACAATACAAATTTGTACAGTGCAAACTTAACCTAACTCATTAGGCTACACTTAAGGTTATTGTGAAACTATTTTTACTTTGCTATTTAAATATAAGTTTCAATAATGAATTAGATGATTATGAGTTGTTAATCAAACAACATACAGTCGACAGATAACGAACATGAAAATGTTGGGCAAACATTAGAACTATGCTTCTGCCTGTTTCATTATTTAGATAAACTATCCATTACAACAGTGCAACAATACGAAATCAGATAACAAAGAATGAAACAAGTTTTTTCACACATTTCTGCCAAAATTACTTTGGAAATGGAATGAAATGTCCTTAGAAGGCACATAAAATATCTGACTGATAAAGTTGTGACTTTAAATTCAGCAATAGGTAATATGAATGGGACTGTTCACAGATATCGCTGAATTGGTCTTTTGTACTCAACATTTCGCTTCTTTAATAAAGTAGAGAAATGTAAGGGTCGAACAAACTTCATTGAAAACCCTAATTTTGTCCAAGGTAGATGCATTAATAGTACCGAATTATGCCAGAACAAACAATACTAAAAAACCAGATTCACTGTGAATTCAAGTTATTTAAACTATTGCAGTTAAACAAACCCTTATATAAATTATTGGCTCCGGCAAATCCTGATGAAAACCTATCTTTTTTAGAAAATCAATGATATTGAAGGCATTCAGCATGGCATCCCTCAGAACATAACACCTAAAATAATGCACTGATTTAAATTTACAAAATTAAACAAAAACTTTAACATTATACATCAATTACCTGGTTTTTTGGTTTGATTTTTAAATGACACTACTCTTCTGCGAACCAAACAAACAAGTATAAGAGTCGCAATGAGAACCAAGGCAAATATAATAGATAGACAAGTAATCATTATGTCATTGGTTGTATAACTACTAAGTTTATGATTTTGTTTACTCATCAAAAGATTTCCATAAGCCAAACCTGTTGCTTTTTGGTAGAGATTATCGTTATTGAATTCTTGAATAGAATTAAAATTGTTTTGAATATGATTAGGGTGATTTTGTTTAAATGCTGAAGATAGTACTGTTTCAGCTGATGTTAATCCTGGAGCATTTATGAATTGATTAATTGAATTATATTGAGACTGTTTACTTTCTAAAGTGTGTACATCTTTTTCTTTATTATTCTGTATCATGATTTTTAAATTGTTATATAATGTACATCGTGGTTTTGGATCTTGACCTTGATCACATGCCTCTAACGTAAGTATATGAATACTGGATTTGTGTAGAAGACCATTGAATTCATCATTTGTTGGTAAATTAGATGTATTTGATGAGTCATATAATTCATTATTATGATCGCTAAGTTTGTTGTTATCACTAAAAGAACTTGATAAATACAACAATCCGCTTGTCGAATCTAGTCCAAACAAACCATAATTATTTCCAGTTAAAATATTGTAAGTGATTGTACCATTATTTCCTTCATCTTTATCTTCAGCTTGAATATAGGCTAGTTTGTAACCGGTTATCTTTTGATCTAAAGCGATGGCCAGAGTGTTTGCTGTGGAATTGGGGCTAACAAATACTGGCCAATTATCGTTGATATCATCAACAATCACTGTAACTGTTGATGTACCAGTATACTGTATACTCTTTGAATTGAGCTTATTTATACTAATACTATTAAATTCTGATGGTCTAATTTTCGTGTCCTTAACTAAAACACGAAATATATATTGAGATTTCTCTTCACGATCCAGTGACTGACGATTTCTAATAATGCCAGTAATTTTATCAATTGTAAAATTAACTGAATCTGGATCATTAGCAAAGCTATATTCCAATGGACCATACGCAGATGAATCAACATCTGTAGCATTAACTTGACCTACTATTGTACTACGTGCTTGATTTTCTTGTAAATGAAAAGTATAATTATTTGTCGAGAAAACTGGTCCATTGTCATTAAGATCATTGATGGTTATCTAAAATATAACAGGGAAACTTTATTGTTAAAAATATTATTAATCTTCAGTGTAGTATTAACTTCATACACTAAAAATGTTACATATTTACCATTCCTTGTAATGATCTCATTTTCTGTATTAAATAATAAGTGTGATGTCAAGTTTGTTAACACACATTCTCACAATCAGCAAAGACCTTGGAGATCATTTAAAGGGTAACAAGTAAAATAGAATAACTAAATCATGAAATAAGCACAAAATGTTTAATGTTTAGATGGCCAAAGATCAAAGATATAACTACACAGAGGAACATTAAAATTCCATTATTTTTAAATACATTGACGGTATTGAGAAATCAGATAACAATAGGAATAATATGAATGAAGCATGTAGATTTCAATAGAAGACTTCAAGATGTAATAGAGAGAGTAAGATTTCATGCAATATGGATGTGAAAAAGAATAAGTACTGAATCAAAGAAAGTAAAGTATAATCGAGTTACCTTTCAAATTAACACCGTTATAAAACACTCTCATTAATCAATAACTGTCCGTCACCAGATTTGTACGGCGAATTCTAGGATTCAGTTGTCAATGGTTAATTAACATAATTCTTTAAATAACTAATGATAATATATTTACTAAAAACTAATCGGATTCAGAGAAAATAGCTATCCTTTTTAAAATTAAATGCTTAAAGTAAACTTTTATCTTCGAATATTTGGGTGAAAATAATTGAATTTGGTTTATTGACGGTGAGGCAATTCGGATTTCAGACTGACTTTTGTCTAACCTTCATTTATACTTTTTATTTTGGATGCCGGCTCAGGGGTCTAGAGGTTAAGTGCTTGCGCTCGAAAGTGTTAGGTCCTGGGTTCGAATCCCGTGAGGCGGGATCGTGGATGCGCACTGCCGAGGAGTCTCACAATGGGACGAAACGGGCTTCCAGTGCTTTCAGGTTTTCCATAGTGGTCTAGCTTCAATTGATTCATGATTTCAACTACAAACATTTTATTTTTCATTAATCAACTACTAATTAACACTGTGTTATTAATGCAATAATATATATTCTTATGGTATGCACACTTTCAATACGTTTAACACAATACACAGGGTATTGCTTTTTACAACTTTCTAAGTTAATCATATCATTCAGATATTAGCTGAATATATATATATATATATATATATATATATATATACGGTACATTTTTAGTATGTTATGTCAATCAACTAGATATAACTAATCATTGTGAGTAATAATGTAAATACAAACGTACTTGTACAGTAGACGTGCCTGTGAGTGGAGGATTTCCATGATCAACTGCTAATGCAATTAATGTGTATTTTTCTTTGACTTCTCTATCAAATATGTCCATTGTAGTTATGATACCTGTATGTGAGTCAATTTTGAACTTCGTTGAGTTAATTCCATCTTCAAGAAGAAAAAATGTCATTTGAGAATTAATTCCAATATCTAAGTCACTTGCTAAAAGTCCTTGTAATGATCCAGTCTGATGAACATTATTAAAATGTCCTCTGTTAACTTTTTGGGATTGTTGTCTCACTTGAGTACCGTATGGAGCGTTTTCATCAACTTGTAAATACAGTATTTCATGTGAAAATTTTGGTCGATTATCATTTTGATCTAGAATACGTACGGTTATATTTCGTTCTGTGTAATGTCCAACCATATCAGAGCAAACAATAGTAACCACTTGGTGAGAAGTGCTTTCACGATCTAAAATCCTAGCTGTAATTAAATGATACTCTGTTAATAAGTTCACTTCAGTGTTTCTATCAAATTCAGGTTGAGTTTGAGAAGTGATTCGTATTAATGAAAAATTTGAGTCTTTTAAGTTACATTCAACTTGATCCTGTCCACCGAAATCTGGATCGTATGCCTACCAAATAGTAAATATAAGACATAGAAAACGTAATTTTAAACAAAGATTTAATGTCAAGCAACTAGAATGTGAATGTTAATCAGAAAATACGTCCGTGTATAATGATTATGATCTTGATCAGCAAACATGAATTGTATAGAATTAGTCAAAATGAATGTTAGCCATGACAAGGCTTCAGTTACACTGCATTACATAATTGCTAGTTTAATGAAGTAACTAATAGTGAGCGTATTAAGAGATAGGCAAACTTTTAACAGATTGAAAGCATACTATTGAAGCATACTAATAGGAGGCTTGAGTTATTTGTAATTATTAAATCACATATACAACAAGACTATAGCGGAATAAACAGATAAACTGAGGGTATAGATAAAAACTGAATAAAAGTTAATTATTGGTGGTTTCGGATAACTTCAGTTAAACTGATTTTACACCAAAATGGCTCTCATAAGTGATGTATTTTTGTTTATATGTTGTTGGCCTATGATCGAATTACGTATTTTGATCAACTTTTTCAACAAGCGACCTATTACTTGACTATTACTCTTCTTATACTGGATAGATCTGTGAAATACTCTGTGAATAGTATGAAGAGATATAATATTCTGTTGTGATGTGGAAATTTTTCGGGTTATCTATACGTTCATCTTTATTTAATTAATAAAGTATGAATTAGGAAATGTTCTCAATAAATTTTCTGTTTAACAGTCCTATTACCTATGTTCTGCTCAATATTTTCTCAATTTGTTTTTTCTACTTTTTGGATTATCTTAGTAGATTAATGAAGCAGTTAACCTACCTCAGTCTTTTATCCCAGCACTATTATAACACTGGAAGCATGTGTCAGGAATTTATTCGTAATACTTTTCTTTCACTACTATTTCAACCAATAATATTGAAATTGATTTTCGGTACTACCTTTTTATATGAACGTCATCAAATATGTTTAACATAGTTTAGTAGTTGTCTGATTATTATGGACAATTATTTGTTTTAATATAGATATCACTGTTTTCTCAGTGAGTCGGAGGAAAGTAAACTATAGTGCTTGAAATGACTACAGATATATAGATATTTACTTACTTGTACAGTTGCTACAGTAGTACCAACAGGCTGATTTTCAAAAACCCAAAAGTAGCTAAACGAGTTCGATGTTGTAACAGCGTCCAGTGCATTCGAACTGATTAGTTCTGGATTTGGAAGCAATGAAATTACGGGTGGCTCATCATTTTCATCTGTAACGAGTATAATAACAGTTGCTTCACTTGAGCGTGTATATGGTCTTGTTGCTTCATCTTCAACAACGGCTCGAAAGCGAAATTGAACATTTGCACCTTTATTAATATTCTCATCAATATCATCTTTCAATTGATAAGCACTTCTTATATTAGGCAAAACTATTTTGTTGTTATTATGATTAATATGACTGTTAATTTGATCAAGTTTATCTACATTTAGTGGTTGCTTAACTATAATTTGACCATTTGGACGTATATCGAAATAGTGTCTAGCAATTTTCTCGGCTGGTTGCCAATAATGATCTTTACTAAAACTAAAATGAAAGATACCATTAATACCTGAATCTAAATCGGTAGCGTTTAATAAAAGAACTGTTGACCCTACTGGAGTTGTTTCAGCTATTGGCATGGATGTTGTAAATATTGGTTGAGTAAATTGTGGTGTATTGTCATTAACATCTTCTATAAAAATATCTACATACAAAGTTGAAGTGAATCGTTTAACTGTTGATTCATTAGATAATGCTGACAAGGTGAATGACGATGATGAATATGATCCATCTGTTGCTTTTAACACTAACTTGTATTGTGACTGTTCTTCTCGATCGATCTGTTTAGTTGCATATAAATGAAGTCCATCAATTGAATCCTCAAGCAAACTGAACGGTATATGAGATTTATCAAACGAATTAACAGGACTAAGTTCATAAGTAATATGTCCATTTATTCCTTCATCATTATCCATTGCTGGTGGTATATTACGACGTGATCCAACTGGATCACCATCCAGGAATGTTATACGAAATCTTTGTAAGTGTCCTTGCCAATATGGAGCATTGTCATTAATATCCTGAATATTAATACGAATATGAAATAGTCGAATTTGCTTCTTATTATTTACCTTGGTGTTTACTTTATTTATAATACCATCCTTCTGATGAATAAACAAGCCTATTTGTAAAATTATGAAACAAGATATTTTTTCTGTTTGTAAGATATTTTGTCGATGAGTACTAGTATATATACTTGAAAATTGTGTTGAATCAATATTTATGAGAGGTGAATCTGTATGCTGTTGTTTAGGGCAAATTTGATCACGATCCAATCGCCTACTCAGAATTATTCTTCCATCCAGTTTTATCTGTATACAAAGGGGAATGAGTTAATAGTAAATTTAGAAAAATGACAGTAGATATATAGAAATGTATTTATCTAAAAGGATTGATTTAAGTTAGGGGCATATCTTCAGGTATTTCATTCTCGAAGACACAGTGTCAAATATACATTAGTAACATTATTTTATTAAATACTGTAGCAAAGGCATGTACATGAACAAAAATAAAAAAATGCGTTATTCTCAGGATGATATCAAAATACGGAACTGTCATAGGGGTTAAAATAATAATCAGTAGTCATAAACTAAATAAATATTGCTCATTCAATTTGATACTGGAATGTAGAAAGGTAAGTCACGCTATTCAGAAGTGAACACAATAGAAAAATGGAGATGATAATCGTTACACAGTCTTCTGAATGTAATCACTTTCTTTTGTTATGTGCATCAATAAGTAAACGGAGGAAATTCAAGCGGCTTTTAAGTTTGCTTTACCGTATTAAACAGAAAACGACCGTGAATAAACAGAGTAAACCAAAGAAATTAAAGTAATAAGTAAGGAGAATAATCAAACTAATGTTTCATTTTCTATTGTTTGTTGGAATCGTCCTATTGATGTTTAGGACTGCAATTGATCAGTCTCTTATTGGCATATGCGTATTCTGTGCGGATCACCTTGATATTGTCTTACGTCACAAGCGTTATTAGCAGAGATGGATGGTGGCTAGTAATGAAGTCCAGGATGCGCGTTTCGTCACATTTGTGACTCGTCAGTTGGATGTACCTGCGTCTTGGAGTTGACGTTTACTCCTAAACGGGTCGATTTCATTCCTGAACATCAATAGAAAAATTCAAACAAATGATACAAATGAATTTAAACTTCACCCCCTTGCACAAGCTAGTGGCTATCAAGACTCAGTATGTAAGCGGATAACGCGATGGCGTCTGAAGCGAAAGGTACTGGGTTTGAATCTCAGGGTGAACATCAGCTCTGAGATAGTGGAGAAGATTTTTAGCTCAGGTGGATGATTTTGATGGAGTTTCGTTCTCTGAGCTGCATGGTTTGGTCGTCATCATCAGTACAAACCCGAAGTCTGTGTTGATGATGTCATTTAGAAGGACGATGAAAGCTTCACGACCAAACCATCCAGCTCAGGGAACAAAACTCCATCAAAATCAACTCTGAGTTATGAGTATATCCAGGTGACGAACCCCCATCCGTCTATGCTTATGAAACTAACATTTGCATTTATCAATATAAAAGTGAAAACAGTACCTTAAATAAGCTCTTTCTAGTCTGTTCTCATTATATTAGAAGGGGCTTTGTGGAAATTTAGTATTTTCATAGTTGAAAGCGTGAGTCAATTGAATGTAGACCACCATAGAAAACCTGGATCAGTTGAAGTTAGATATTAACACCGTTTGATGCCGGCTCAGTGGTCTGTCAGTTAAGGGCTCTGGTTCGAGACTGGTAGGTCCTGGGTTCGTATCTTGCGAGTGCGAGATCTTGGATGCGCACTGCTAAGGAGTCCCATAATAGGACGAAACGGCCGTCCAGTGCTTCTAGGTTTTCCATGGTGTTCTCATTACAGTCATGGATCATACGAAATTGATAATCAGTAAAATATGGACTTTAGAAAAAAATTTCTTTCCCTCACATATTTTACTAAACATGAAATTTGATATCTATTATAACAGGAAATAAGAAAAATAATCTAAAGAACTTAACTCACAAATGGTCAAATTTCTTTGATATAGGTCAAATTTTGTTCAATAATAAAGATTTAGGTTTATTCTAATTTATGTTAAAAAACTATGGTTACAAAAAACTATTAACCATTTTATTGATGTATGAAATCTAATAAAAGACATTATTGGTTTACTTAATTCATTCTTTATGTATTAAAAAACTTAAACTAATAAATTCTGTTGTAGTTATTTTTCTCAATACAAGTAGATGGATTTAAATCTAAGATATTCTAAAGCATTAGGTTTAATTGTTCATCGGATAAAGAACACTTTGATGTTTAGGACTGCAATAGATGAGTGTCTTATTGGCATATGTGCATACTGTGAGCGAACATCAACTCTGAGATGCAGGTACATCCAGCCGACGAGTCCCAAATAGGACGAAACGCGCGTCAAAATGGATTCCACTGCTAGCCACTATCCATTTTTGCTTATAATGCTTGTGAATTAAGGCTATATTGAGACAATACGCACAATAAGCACATATGGCAATTAGAGACTGATCAATTGCAGTCCTAAACATTAATGGAAGATTCAAAACAAACCATACCAAGTCAATTTACATTTCGCTCCCTTGAAAAGCTAGTGGCTGTAAGGAATCAGTATGCAAGCGGATAACGCGATGGCTTTTGAAGTGAACGGCATTAGGTTCGAGTCCCAGAGTGAACGTCAACTATGAGATGCAAGTACATCCAGCGGACGAGTCTCAAGTAGTACAAAATGCACGTCCTTAATTCCACTGCTAGCCACTATCCATCTTTGCTTATGCTATTCGCTATAATTATTTCACTTACTATAATAAAATTTACCAAATGAACATTTTAAAAAAATTCTGGAAATTATTTTTTGTTCAATAATTAATATTGTAGTACTATCAAAATTTCAGTAAGATGTAGGTTTAACCAATTTAATGAGGTATTAAATTGATTAATCTAGGAACTAGGACATAGTCGAGATTAATCTTCTTATGTATAATGAATAAATTATATTGAGAATTAATCCTTCTTTTGAATTTATTACACGTTAGCCGGAAACCAGTAACCATTATGCTGTATTTTACATAAATAAACAAAAAAATATTAAGGTTCCGTCAACTGACTAATTTTAAATTATATTAAAAGTTTTATCTGCCGAATCCTGCGAGCGGGATCTTGGATGCCTTCTGATGAGGAGTCCCATACTAGGACGAAACGGTCGTCCAGTGCTTCTAGGTGGTCAAACATTCATCTATTCATGATATCAATTTAAAGATCATATAATTCTTTAATTATACTTTAAATATAGTATGAACTGTTGTATAATGTAATAAATTCACTGAATGTAAGAAAAGAAAGTTAATTGTTAAGGACATAATTTACGATGCTTACCGTGGTAGAAGAATTTGACCACTTCTGAATTATTTAGCCAGTTTACTTGTACCTTAAATACTATATATGGAAATGAATAGTTTTACTTAATGTTTCAATAAGTATATCAACTCACACGCTATATATATATATATATATATATGCACATTCATGGTATGATGAAAACCCTACAATAGGTCACTTTATATCATGCAAACATAGGCCATTTAACCTAAATTTCACAATTTCAAAGAGTCTTACTATTTTGAAGAAGATATATCAAAACAACACAACGTCACCTTGAGATCTATAAAATTCTAGGGATCATTGGGCGACTGTCTTGTGCTAAATTGGGCATTGTTTATCTACAAACGTTTTAGTTATCAAATATATTGCCCTCAGGTATCATAGAAAATGAGTCGTTTATAAACGGTTCATTTAGATTTTAGTGGTTTACGCATCTGAATTACGTAAATCCATGTTATAAAACAATCATGTTTTAATGTCAATGATGAAATATGTTGCCTACTTGATAAGTTTAATTTAAACTGGATACAACGTCTTTTTGAAACATTGGCAATATAGTTAAATCAACATGTTTATTTAAGTGCATATTGTTGAGATCATCAAGATTTTCCAGACTAAAGAAACAAATGTGATTAGACCTACAAAAATTATGATACCTACTGTGAGTAAAACTAAATGACTAGCGGTTAAGAAACACTTCTGTTAGGATATTTTTTAATTCACAAAAGACACATTTGCTATACATTTAACACTGGAACATAGCAACTACGTTTCGTCCTATTCAGAACTAGTAAGTTGGATATAACTGAATCCAACAGTTAATACTAACACTTAAATAAACCCTTCATTAACAACAAATTTCGATGAATTCTTTCCTTTTAAATTTCATTGTCTAATTAAAGGTTTTTCGTATAAGAAGTTTTTTTTATTACCTATGTTCTATCCATGACTGTAATGATGAAAATTAATTTCTGAGATTCTTGTCACTATGGAAACGTTATAATTATAATCATGACAACTATAAATTAACTATGATATAGTTATTACAATAAAATACTTCATTCTATAACTATCAGATAAGAGTTTATATATATTGTGTATGCATATAGTTTCAAATTGACGATCATCAAAAGTATCTATAATGAATTTATCTATTGACTATCATCTACATAACAACAGAAAAGAAAAAGAGATTTATGTCAAACAGCCTGACAACATATTTCATTATTAGACTGATCTATTTTACAGATATACAAATAATATAAATGAGATTAAATAAATCATTTGTATCGTTTAATGAAAATATAAGAAGAATAAACACTATAATAAGGAGTTCATATTGGATAGAGAAATAATAATTTGGAATACTATTATAAAATCAACTCATTATTATTATTTTTTATAGTTGAAAGCATTAGTCAATTGGAGCAAGACCTTCAAGGATAGGAACTTACTGAAGACAATTGGTGGATGGTTGCTCAACTTCATGGATTGGTTGAAGTTAGACATTAACACCGTTGGATGCAGGCTCAGTGGTCTATCGGTTAAGTGCTCACACGCGAGACTGATAGATCCTGGGTTCGAATCTCGTGAGGCGAGATCGTGGATGGGCACTGCTAAGGAGTCCCACAACAGGACGAGTTGGCAGTTCATTGCTTCCAGGTTTTCCATGGTGGTCTAGCTTCAATATGAATAGTTTAAATGTACTGAGGTTAATAAGTGAATTTATTGTATTCTGTATTGTTCCCTTTGAATAATTCTAGCAAGTTCAATTTACCAGCCGATTAAATATACGGTATTTAATCCTGACTTTGACTTTCAGATTGAAAAAAACAAAGCAATAAAGTGTTATCACACCGAATTGAATAATTACAAAGATAAATATGTATGATGAATATCGTAATT